ATCTAGCTCCTTGGTTATCACATATCACAGGGCCTTATCAAACCCAACCAAGATAGAATGAAACCCCTGCGCAAAATTCCCCTATCTGCGGACAGCAAAGCCCTACGTCGTGCGGTTGGTCTCTTCGTTTACTTACTCGCAGTGGATACAGTCATTTTCGGACAAAATCAATCCATTAGTTCAGAACAAAACATTCCCTTTACCACCATCCGCCAGAAGCATATTTGAGGGATTCAAACAAGACTTGGAAAATGCCACGCTGGTGACCGTAGACCATGAGATACCTTTGGTTGCAGAAACAGACGCTTCCGATGTAGCTATAGCAGCATCACACCCAAATTAACCGCTCTGTAGCCCCCTTTTCGCGTATTCTGACTCAAAGCGAACGACACCACTCCGCTGTCGAAAAGGAAGTCTGCGCCGTAGTCAAAACAATTCGCGAGTGGAGACACTATCTTCTGGGCAAACACTAAACTTATTACGGATCAACGTTCGGTAGTCTACATATTCAATAAAAACCACACTAGTAGAATCAAAAACGACGAAATCCAGAGGTGGAAATTCGGCTTACCACTATGACATAGTATACCGACCCGGTAAAGACAACTCTGTCGCGGAGGCACTCCCCGCAAAGTGTGCTTCCAACTTCGATTGCCAGAAACTGAAGACGCCACACGACTCACTTTGCCATCCTGGAATGACGGGTATGATCCACTTTGTGTTCCAAAAATCTACCGTACTCGGTTGAGGAAGTTAAAACAATAACTTCTCGATGCAGCATATGCGCCGAATTGAAACCGCGCTTTCACAAGTCGCTCACAGGGCACTTAACCAAGGCTACGCAACCATTTGAAAGACTCAATATTGACTTCAAAGGGCCGTTACCCTCAACGTCTCGTAGTTGGTACATTCTGACGCTCATAGACGAATACTCCCGGTTCCCATTCGCCTTCGCCTATTCAGATACGCAATCGTCCACTGTCATTACCCGCCTCTGTCAACTATTTTCGATCTTCGGGATGCCAGCCTATATCTATTCAGATCGGGGTCCATCGTTCTTGTCGTCCACACAACCAACTTGCTTACGAGATAAAGGAGTGACTATGAGTCATGCAACCGCCTAAAATCCGCAAGCTAATGGTCAGGTTGAGCGATTGAACGGTACTCTTTGGAAGGTTGTTTCCCTGGCACCGAAGACGAGGGGCTTAGCTATCTCCCAATGGGAATCCGTCCTACTAGACGCAATGCACTTGATCCGTTCTCTCTTATGCACCGCCACAAAGCCACTCCACATGAACGGCTTTTCTGTTTTGCCCGACGCTCCACCAGTGGTACGTCTCTTCCAACCTGGTTGACTACCCCTGGCCCCATATTGCATGGTTAATGGTTGTTCAAACTGAACTGAACTGATATTGCTCAAACGCATGGATCGGTCTTCGAAGAAGTTGACCTTATCAATTGTAATCCGCATTACGCCGTGGTGAAACTTCCTAATGGAAGAACAGAGAATGTCTCCATTCAGTATGTGCTTTGCACCCTCAAAGTGCAGTGATGCTGCAGGACTGGGTTTCGTCTACTCCCGCTCTGAAACTAAATGGTCAGGATTTAGGTACGGTGGATTACTTTTCCTACTTAGGTAGTTGAGTGACCAATGACGGCAACGAAGCAAAAGAGAACCGTCCGCATTTTCAAGGCTCGAGCAGCATACGCAGGACTGAAAACACCTTTGGTCGTGTATACTGCACTAGCGTTCGTTCACTTCTGCTTTATGTTTGTGAGACCTTGAATTTGCGATAAGATATCCGACGACTAGAAGTCTTCGATTACCCGTTTTTACGCAGTTTAGCTCACGTGGGATGGAGCTAACGGAATAGTAACGTAGAGTTAGCCGCTGTGTTTGGGAGTCTAACAAGGATAGACTTGCTAGCACACCGAATTAAGTTTAGTAGACTTCGCTGGCTAGGGCACGTATTGCGTATGCCAAGCCATCGTTCGCCGCACCATGCTTTGTTCGCTGTAGCTAATCCGGGCTGGAGGAAACCGCGTGGATGCCAATAGATGACGTGGTGACTAGGCATGAAGAATTGCACAAAGTCATTAGGTAGAGTGTCTCTCGCCTTCCAGGTTAGAGTCCGCAAGACTCCACAACCTGCTGGTTGGAGACATTGAAGGATATGACAGCGAACCCTCGGGTTAAGCAGAGCTGAATGCTACCAGGCGCGTCCCCGATTTGTGGATAGGGAAATACCTTCACCGAAGAAGGTTAGCTGTGAATGAGTTGTGGCATACCGCAAAAAATAAGCAGTCGCGAACAAACAGCGGCGGCAGTACCACGGTGTGGTGGGTTTCAGGCTGGTCACCTGGCTTCTGTTCAAAAGTCGCATAAGCCCAATGACGGTGTCGTGACAAAGGTAGATGTGACTGGCCTTTTAAAACTTAAGTCACTGACCCCCTCACTTCCGAGGCAAGAGATTACTTCCCGCTGCCTTGTAGTTCGCACTCGCTTGTGCAAAGGCTAGAGGTGCGCCGTCAAAATAAAAAACGCCGAATGACGCTGGGGACGTTTCTCGTACCAAACTGCCAAGGAACTCCATGATCTTCATCACGATCATGTCTGCAGCCGGCTCATCCTTTCCAAGGAGCCAGCCGCAGTAAAGTAAGTAAGAACCGACAGCAGTGGCGTTCTTGTTCTCATTTCTTATGTATGTATGCAGAGTTCAATTGTGCACTCTGGTTCACCTCCCTCCCTCAAAGTAGGTCCAGTCCCAGTCCAGCTTAAATTTTTACCATTAACCTTGCATGCATTGCAAGTTTGGCAGTGATCAGTGAAGTTCGCATCACTGTATTTCGCTGTACGGTGATGATCATGACCGACAAGTGACTAAAACGCATTAATCCAAATTGAATCCTGGAAATACAGTGTTACTGATTTTGCATGGCAAACAAAACGTCTTTGTCTATACCCCCCTAACTTTTATCAGTCGACTCCAGTACACGCATTGAATGTCACGCTCATATGCTGAAACCTTGTTAAAATCTGTACTTCACACTTCAGAGATTAAGTCGCTAGTGAACTAAAAGTGGTTTGCCGGCGTCCGTTACGGAACTCTTGAAAGGTCTTTAAAGGCCTTGTTCAGGGTGGTTTTGTTATTGTTGTGGTCAGTTGAAAACCTGTCTCTTCATTTCCATCTTCTTTGTCGTTATTTTCATGTATAGAAGGCAGAGGAGTCGCGTCCTCTTCACCGCCGGTATCGATAGCAACCCGCTTACCTGTCTGCAAGTTGCCAACGTGTCGCCGAGTGCTCGTCGAGACACTTGAATCGCGCCTCGTTCTGCTCCTCCACCACCTTCGAAGGGAGTGAATTCCAGAGAGTAGTCGCCCTCCGTTAAAGGGGATAAGCCAAAGCCTCGTCGACTTCCGGAAAGTGAGTCTGTGGCCACGTGTCTGGTTGCAGTCTCGTAGTGTAAACAGCAATTAGTTCCTGTCCCAGATCGCCATGAACAATCTTCCATAGACCCCCGCGGAGTCTCCTGTAGCTAACCGGGAAGAGTTCACTTAATTGGAGTCGACCTTCAGAGTTGCTCTCGCGAATTCCAGCGACTAGTCGAGTGGCGTAGTGCCGTACCCGTTCCAAGTTGGCCATTACCAAAGCATGCAGGGGGATATAGCAGGTCCACCATATTCAAGCCGGGGACGAACACGGGAGGCGAACAGCTTCAGCCAAAGAGCAACAGTTGAATAAAATAGTCACCGGGTCTGAAAGCCGTGTCTCGCTTCCGAAGCGGAAATCAGAACGATGATAGGCGGCTCCGCCGTCGCCCGGCTCACTACCACGCTTGATCTATTGAAGCCTAATGTGGTCCGCCAGTCCAAGTTTCAGGATCATGGTTGCCGGTTTTCCCCATAACATAAACATGAATATACAAAATCATGAACGCTCATCCACTCTCGCTCGCTCTACGCATTCAGACTGTAAACACGCACTCATTACCCTCACCAACATTCGCGGACCGAACCGCAACATTGATTCTGTACACCATTTTCTCCATTCTTCTTCCCTGCTCGCCCTTTTTAGACCGAAACACAAATCTCCCTCCAAAGAACCAACGAACGCTTCGTTCGCCGCAAAGCCGAAAACTTGGTCTCGTCCGCCACCGATAGCCGACCATTTTGGTCCCTTGCCAAAGCAGTCACCCGTAATTTCTGCCCTTCCAACTTCCCCCCTATCTGCAATTCTTCTGATGACCTTGTATGTCAACAACACGAGAAAGTTGAGGTTTTTGCTTCCCAGTTTACCGCCAATTCCACTATACCTCACTTTTCTATACCTCCACATTCTTCCTTCTTCACTAGCAACCCTTTTCTATCTCATATCTGCACTAGGAAAATCCTTCAAACATTACGCTCTCTGAACGCAAACAAACCACCCGGTCCGGACGGTATCCCACCCATCGTCTCCAAAAGGTGTGCTCACGAGCTGGCTCCTGTTTTACGTCGTCTTTTCTGTCTTTCCCTCCAACTTTCTTCCTTTCCAACCCCCTAAAAGCACGCCGTGATTTTTCCCATTCCCAAACGCGGCGACCTTTCTAGCCCCAACAACTATCGACCCATTTCCCTCACATCTGCTTTTTCAAAAGTATTTAAAAATATCATTCCTGACCAGCNGACCAGCGGCGCACGTTCCTTGAACGCGAAGGATTACTGGGCGACCACCAGTATGGCTTTCGACCGCGCCGTTTCACCGGTGACCTTCTGGCTGTCTCACAATCCTGGTCAGCTCTACTCGATAACCACAGGGAAACACACTTGGTCTCGCTTGACATCTCAAAGGCCTTCGACCAAGTTTGACACGAAGGTCTACTGGCGAAACTACCCATGTCCGGGTTCCCTCCAGCGCCCGTAGCGTGGATATCAAGTTTCCTCAGTAAGCGAACCATCTCCGTCCGAGTTGATGGGGTTCTATCTCAGCCATTCCGTGAACGCTGGTGTTCCCCAAGGTTCAGTACTTGCGCTCACCCTCTTCCTTATATTTATCAATGATCTCCCTTCCCAAATTGCCAACCCGATTCTTTGTTTTGCCGATGACACCACCCTCCACTGCTCCGTCTCCCACCGCAGTGTTCACCATGCCAAAACCTACATCGATGGTGACCGTAATGCAGTTAATGTCACTGGACTACGATCTCGAACATATCTCCCCCTGGGGCATAGCAAACCACGTTTCGTTCAATAGTTCTAAAACCTTTCAATTTCTTTAAAA